CCAATCGAAGTAGTTACGGAAGATTTTATAAATAGGTAAAAAAAAGAGTAAGGAATAAATTTAGGTCCATATTTAAAACTCATTTACAAGTTATGTTAGCGCGCTAATACACTATTATATTTTACGTTACGCAGATTATAGAATTTTCGAAATAAAAGCGCACTTTTATCGATAATAGCATTATGAATATGGGCCTTAATATATAATATGTATATATCAATGATTATTGCAATATTTTTTATTGTAGAATCGAGAAGATTAAAGGAGACGACGATGAGTTGCCGGGCGATTTCGATAACGAGATACATAAATGGGCTTTGGAATGTTAGTTCTTATGTAAATTGTATTATTCGCTTAGCTTATGTAAAAAATTAATTAACACATTAATTGCACAAAATTCCTTCTCTCTTTATGCTAATAATGGTTACTTTATAAACTATATTTAAGATATTTTATATAACTTACACATTTTTAATATTGAATATTTTTGTCTATGAAATATTAATCTTTTCATTTTTATTTTCTTATAGCTACAGTTGTTTTATATTCAAAAACATTTGAAGTTTTATAAAAGTATAAACTATATGTATAAATCATAGAGTGCATTCGGTTTCACGCATGATGTGCATAATACATCATTTATCCTTGTTTAACATTCGATGAATAACAAGGATAAATGATACATTATGTGTGAAACAGAACGCAGCCATAATATTAATTAATATTATTCTAATTACTTTTGGAATTACTTGAAATAATTGGAAAAGAAGATTACTTTAAAATTAATGTAAACGAAACATTAAAGCTGCTTTTTTTCTTTTTCACATATCTATTTATAGAATTTTCTAAATTATACGTATGGCAAAATATAATTTGATTTTTTATTAGTTTTTATTTGTTTTATGTATCACTACACGGTAGATACATATTTAGCTACAACATTTAACAACACCTCTAACATATTTTACATATAACATAATTTATTTCACAGAGAGAAAGGTAGAAAGGAAGAGAAACTACTATTAGTGTTGAAATTCTTTCCGGAAAGAAAACCTCTAGCGTTCTCGTTTTCATTATTGTGACTATTGGGACGTTCAATGACGATAATATGTACTATGTACTATGAATTATACATTTGATTCAATCGAGCAGGTATCGGACGTGTGGCACTCGATGTCAGACTCGGCTGCTTGAGCGATACTTTGTCGTCGAATTCTGAACCGCAAAAGATTATCGATGCTGCCAAATTCGCACTGAGGAATGTTGCTTTGCTCGAGCTTAAAGCTCCGTATTGGAGATACATTCCAACGCCTCTCTGGAGTCGCTACGTACGAAATATGAATTATTTCATCGAGTAAGTTTAGAGAGACTAAATAGATACGATAGAAAATCCTGTAAAAAGATATGCATGTATAGATAAGGAATAAATTAAAAAAAAAAAACAATTGACAGAAACTTATATTGGAAAAATAAATTATGATTTTAAGAAAATTTTGAGAAACAAAGAAAACTAGAAAATAAATAAATTATTTATTTGAGATTTAAAAAGCAAATTCTCTTTTGTTTCTTTCGGCATTTTTCGGTGTTACATCACTTAACATGTACGAAGTAGAAAATTATAGAAAATAAGTGAAACACGGAAGAAAATCCATTTTAAATTAGCTATTAAATAAGATAGTACACATTTATCCGGCTCGATTCAGAATTATAACATCGATGTTATGAAACTGGCCAATCACAGTCATTCCATTCTTCAGAGGAACAGCTATGATTGGCCAATTTCATAACATCGATGTTGTAACTTTGGCGTAAATCGAACGTGTAAACGTAATCATAGTTAAGTAAACGCTCAATGTTATATACATTTTTTTCAACTTAATTCAATTTACAGATAATTTGATAATTTATTTCTGAAACTCACCAATTAGTAATATTGGTCGATAATCTGTACAATGTATGTATGTTTCATTTTAGGATATGCATGAAGTACATTGACGCTGCGATAGTCAGACTTAAAAATAAGAACGCCGTAGATGAGACCGATTTGTCGCTAATAGAACAAATTCTAGCCAAAGAGACAGATCCTAAGATAGCTTATATTTTTGCTCTCGATCTGATATTGGTTGGCATTGATACGGCAAGTCGCACAATATCGTAGATTATTATTAATCGTATTACTTTTATTTAAAAAATTTACAATTAATTACTATCAATCCTTAAGCAGATGTATTTGTAAAATCACACAGCGATTGAAGTAACTTTAGAGCTTCTCTCTCTTGAGGAAGCTAAATTCGATCCGTCTTTTATTCATAGTACTTACTATGACTCCTTTCGGCGGGTTGGAAGTAATTCATCTAATCTAAGGGATATTAAGAGGAAGAGGAAATGAACTCTAATTCCACGCGTCTACTTAAGGATTAATTAAATGTGTAACAATATTATGTATAAATTAAAAATACACAAAAAGAATATTTTTGCTAAAATATATAAAAATCAGATCATACAGATCCGAAAATAATTACGTTGGATTATCAGAATAATTATGTAGAAACATTATATCTATAAATGCAGCAAAAAGCTTGAGCATTTTGACAACTTCCTTGAACTTCTAATATAATTATTTTGATAGTCCAGCACAGAGCCGCATTAATTGTCATTTCGCATCCCTGGAAATATTTCAAGTGCCCTTTTAAAACATACAGGGTGAGGAAAAAGTCCAGGAAAACAAAGCATTTCTTATAGAAAAATTACATATTTCTGTGTATATTATATATTATAGATATCGATGGCAGTGTGTTCGATATTGTATCAGTTAGCAACTAGACCAGAAGAGCAGGAGAAGATACATCAAGAGTTATTGCAAATACTGCCAGATCCATCCGTTTCTCTCACAACGAGCCATTTGGATCAAGCAATCTATATGAAAGCTTTCATCCGCGAAGTATTTAGGTAATATTAATCGTCATAGTATTAATAAACTTTGATAATATAAAATTATTTACTAAACAATTAATTTAATTGTTTACATGGGTTAATGATGGCCTGGTTACTTTCGTAAAATGGATCTTAATGGATCTTATATGCGCTGCATTTCAGAGTATACTCCACTGTTATCGGAAACGGAAGAACATTGCAAAACGACACCATCATTTGCGGCTATAAAATTCCCAAAGGAGTATGTAGCACATCTTATTTTTAATTTTTATATTTTCCTACCTTATCGTTTATAATGCTTATATAATTTATCATACTTAATATACAATTATTTGCAAACATTATCTATATCAAAATAAGGTGCTTTGTAGTAAAATATATAAGTAAATTCTGTATTCCTATAAGTAAAATTCTGTTATATCTATACACAGATAAAATAATTTTACTGAAATATTTAAAAATTCAGCTAGATATAAATCTGAAATAATTTTATTGAACTATTTCAATAATTATTTAGGATATTTAAGATGATTGCTAGAATGAAAATTTTTTGTAACATTACTCATTATGAGTGTCTCACATAATTATTTTGATAATCCAATAAAATTTCAATCATTTAGATCTGTATCTATAAGCTTTTTAAATAGGCTAGCAAAACAGTTCTTTCGTGTATATAATATTTAATAAAATTACGATATTAATGTCGTAAATAATTTTCTTCGTGGCTGATTCATAGCAGACGTCAAGTAGATATTAGGCGATCTAATGTAAAATAAAATTATTTTAGATTCAAGTTGTATTTCCAACTCTTGTCACTGGTAATATGGAGGAATATGTTGCGGATGCGAAGACGTTTAAGCCTTCAAGATGGCTCAAAGACTCCAATAATGAAAATCTGCATCCATTTGCGTCGTTACCGTACGGTTACGGAGCACGAATGTGTTTGGGAAGACGATTCGCGGATCTCGAGATGCAAGTGCTCCTCGCGAAGGTATAATATACAGTGTTTTGTTATATCGTTTTAGTTAAGCTTATAAAAATTTGTGCTAACAAATTAAAAAAAAAACAAATATACTGTTATAACGATATTATTTTCAGCTCTTGAGATCGTATAAACTGGAATACCATCATCAACCGTTAAAATACAAAGTCACGTTCATGTACGCGCCCGATGGAGAACTTAAATTTAAATTTATGAAAAGATAGTATCTAACAAGTATAATATTACAAAATATATTCGAAGTAATTAAAACGAAAAAAAGTATCTCAAAATTTGCAAGTAATGATAAAAAAAAAATTGATTGCAATATAGTAGTAGTCACATATTAATGTCAGATTACAGAACATAAGAATAAAACGTTTATAATTTATAGTCTAGTTAAATCTAGTATCATATATATAATAAAGATAAAAAACATGAACATCCACTGTCAAATTCTAAAGCCTATCCTATAACAATGTGCTCTTTATTTCTTGTTTCTTGCTTTTTTCCCCTTTGCAACCGTTTTATCGACAATCGTATTTATTTCTTGTTCTTTTCGAAATTCGTTAACTTTTATCTTCGGTGACATCAAACAAAAAATCGGATAAGAAGCATAAAGATAAGATGTAAAGCCTGTTCTACAATATGTTTTTTGTTTCCTATTTCTTGCCTTTTGTTATTTTTTACATCTTGTCTTTTTGCTTCTTATCCGATTTTTTATTTTATATCGTCCGAGATAAAAGTTAACGAACTTAAAAAAAAAAAGAAATTACGTAGTAAAAAATACAATTGTTGATAAAGGTTGCAAAAGAGAAAAAAGCAAAAGATAAAAAACAAGAAACAGGAAACAAAGAACACATTGTAGAACAAGTTTAAAAAAAAATAGTAAAAAATAAGAAACAGAAAACAAAAAGCACATTGTAAGCTTTAGAGACACTTAGGATAGTTTAAACTGTTTAGAACTATTAGCATTACATACAAAATGTGTATCTTCTCTTTTGTGTATCCTTCTTTCCTCTTCCTCGTGCAAGGTTATAAATCCATGACCGATTCCACATGAGTTTACAACTTTTTATGTTTTTCACACATAGTAAGAGGAAAGCAATATTTCATTGCAGAGCAGTATTTTATTTGCTTCGAAATGTTGAGTTTAAATTTCGTGCACTACTGTAGTGAGAAACATTAAAAACTCATGGTCATTATAGAGCATGAAAACGTGATGTACATCCTGCATCACCTGCATGCCAGCAACGTCCACTGGCATCGCAGTATTTCGTGGCTATGACAGATTTCCTAACCTCAATTATCAATAATTCTCAATAATAGATCAATAATAGATAATCTCAGCAATAATTAATAGTCTTTAATTAATATCTCGGTTCGCGAGGCAAAGCGACACTTTTCTTAGCCAGATTCGTTCGTTTTAGATAAAAACACGCCGAATAAGCTTAATTTCATCAATTTCTAAAGTGATGAGGTTAAAGTAGACAATTTCAGATTTTTACCAAATATTTGCTACAAATTTTTATCAACAAAAAAATTACAGATGTGACAAAATATATAACGTTGTGGGCAAAAAATGAAGTTTATCAATAAAACATGGTAGATTGATGACAGACTTAACTTCTTATTTGCTACGTAATTTAACAGGTATCACTACTCTGCCACTTTCTGTTGTGTTATGACCGATCGCAGTGTTAGATTATGTTAGAAGTTCAGAATGTCAGTAAAACATAATTGAGCTTAATACTTTGACTACCAAATTGATTTCGGTATTGAGTTTAATTCTCCAGCATCATTCTGAAATTTTCGATAGTTTACACTATGAGCTATTGAGAGAAATAGCATATATTTTTTATATCTAATATATTACAGTATCTTGCGTAATTTCTATTGTTTTTTTAATGTATCAAATCCCGAGTAAAATTATTTTTAATTAAGTTAATAAAATCATGATAAGTAGTTAATGGAGTTTAATGTTCGTATAAAATATCAAATTACGTTTTTATTCTTTTGTTGAGATAACTTTATTTCATTTCTCTATCTTTTTTTATGTGTCATATCCAATTATTTCAATTTCTTAAGAAAATTAAACAAAAAAATGATATTTTTCAGATATATCTCGCTGTATTTTTATTATTTGTTGGTTATAATTCTTGATATAATTTACTGTTAGGCTATAAATACAATTGTGATCAAACATGATGACTTGGAACGTTCTTAAATGTACTTTTGGATCGTCAAGAAGTATTTTACGAAACAGGTGTGGTATCTAATTATTCTGAAGAAAACAAAATCTAAAAAAGTTCAAAATATATTGTTAAAAATCTTTATAAATTTAAAATATGAAAAATTTTTTTTAATAATATATTACAAGAATTTTCCATTAAGGGAATATCAATGTCTTATTTACCTTAGGTTATATAAGTATATAAAAATATTTACATATAAGAAAATAAGGATTGATTACTCATTGCAGATTATCGGAATGTGTTTATAAAATCATCAAACCAATGTCGACAGTGGATCCTAAGGATATTGAACATCACTCTGTTTTAAAAAATGACTGGTGGAGTGAGAACAGTCAGATGACTGATCTTCATTTATATGCTGCGTTTAGAATAAAGTTTGTGAGGAATGGATTGGCAAATGCCGGAGTCCAAATGCAGAATGCAGTTCTTCCATTGGAAGGAGTCAAGATTGCGGATGTTGGTTGTGGTGGAGGTATATTGACTGAGCGTTTAGCTAGAATAGGAGCACAAATAACCGGAATAGATGCATCAGCAGATTTAATAAATGTTGCAAAAGAGCATGCAAAATTGGATCCTAATATATTAGAGAGAGTGAACTATATTCAAACAACTGTGGAAGATTTCTCTCAAAAGGAGAGAGAATCGTATGATGCTGTTGTGGCGTCTGAGGTCTTAGAGCATGTAGCGGATGTGCAACTATTTTTAAAGGTATATGGGATATCCTAGAAATAAGTAAACAAACTTTGGAATCATATTCCACTGTCCTTAAGGATAAAAGAAGGTGATATAAATATAGATCTAGAAACTTTCCTTTTTTTTTTTAAGATATAAACACTGTATTTATCTCAAAAGTTTACATGAACAGATATCACATGAAGTAAATTTTGTGATAGAGCAAGTAATGGCAGCTTATCGACTATCGTAGATAGAAACTAAAATTTCTATCTAAACGTTGCAAAGTTAAAATGTTTCAAAAAGAAAGAATTTCCAGATCTTTGTATGACATTTTTTTATCCTTAAGGACAGTAGAATATAATACTAAAGTTTGGCCATCTATTTATGTAAATCTATTTCTGAAACACCCTGTATATTATGATAGATTATAAAAATTATTGAATATAAACATAAAATATTTTATGAATATTCTTTACAGAAATGTGTGGAAATTTTGAAACCTGGAGGGTCGATTTTTATAACAACAGAAAATAGAACTATAGCATCTTGGTTGCTCGTTATTGTAGCAGCAGAATACATTTTCAAAAAAGTACCTCTTGGTACTCATGTATGGAATAAATTTATCACACCACACGAAATTCAACATATATTGGATGATTGTAAGTTTTATCTCCGCTATTATCTAATGAAAATTATCAAAACATTACCAAAAAGATATTTTATTTTATAAAGATATCTGTATGATTAAAATTTAAAATTTTATAAATAATTACCAAGTAAGCACTTTTACATTGTGTCATAATTGTTTAAACTTTTTTTAAAAGATGGATGCAGAACGAGATTAATTCATGGCTTTAAAATTAACCCATTGTTAAAACAGTGGTCTTGGTCGTCATGTACAGCAACTTTTTATGGCCTTCATGCAATCAAACAAAAAGAAACTAGCATATAGTTTTCGTAACATGCAATTTTTTTGTTATTAAATACAGAATTATGTATTTTTATTATTTATCGACTATAATATAATTGATACTATGTATGTGCTAATAGAATAAATGTCAAACATGCCTTTAGGATGCTCGGCACTTATCTTGTCAGCAAAAAATTAAATATTGTTTAAAAATTAAATATTATATTGATTTTGTTTTATTTGAATATTGTAATTTTTATGCTGAGCGTTTACCTGCAGTCTACATCAAACTTTCAACAGCAAAAGGATTGAAACATATTAATATTTTTATATATTTTTTACATAACCTATTCAATCTTCATATTTCGCGCTCTAGAAAATACTTATCAATGGCTACATTTAGCAAAGGAAACTAATCAGTTAGCGCTTAATAATTCTTTAATATGATTGGTTCCTACACTTAGATCCAGCGAAGAATTAAAGGCAAGAACTAATCATATTGAAGAATCATTAAGCGCTAGAAACCGATTAGTTTTCTCTGCTGAACGCAGCCAATTCTAATGGTCATGTGGTTTATAGTACTAATTTTAGAAATATATGAGATAAACAACACAAAAGCACAGTACGCGTCTGACGTATTGTGTCCTTGTTATAATCACAAGTTAGTAGATCTACCATAAAGTAAGTATTTATACGTAATCCATTTCAAATTTTCGATAAAAATATACTCATTTTGTGTAAAAACAAATATTCGAAAATTATAAATCATTGATTTATTATATTTTGCAGAAATAAATTCAAATTTTATGTTATTCTTTCTTTCTTTGTTTCCGCTTATCTTCATTTTATTTAACCCAATATGTACTGTAAAATATGATGTACGATTTGCTTTTTATATATCGTTAGTATTCAATTCAAATTTATAAAATTTCAAAATTTAAATTTAAACATCTTCTAAATTTGTGTTACGCATTGTAGATTCATCTGTATTTTATATGCAAATATATAAAATCTGAAAAATTTCTCATTTCTCATAATTACAAATTTTAGTCATTAAAACATTTTTACTAGGGAAATGTTAATGTAAGATAATGAAAGAGTAAAATTTATGAAGTATATTCCATATTTATATTGCGTAAGATGATATTTGTTATGTTACATCATATGATATCTACTTTATATTATAGATACAGTTACATTACGCATGTGCTAAAATAGCTATATTAAAGGTAGAAATAAAAATTTTTCTGTTTTTCTAATTCGGTAAATTTTTCATTCACGAATATATGTTAATATATATATGTGTGTGTGTGTGTGTGTGTGTGTGTGTGTGTATAAACATACATAAATATGCATAAACATTCGTAAACATATGTAATTATATATGACATGTCCATATATATCTTTCTTTTTTTTTAAATACTATATAGTATAATAAAAATGATAATAATAATAATGCTTTTGAGACTTCCATGGATATTTTCTTCAAAGATTACGACCAGGTTTACGGATTATCGCTATGTCATTGCTAATGCCAGGCGGGCATTAGTAATGAATAAAGATACGGCGATAACCCGTAACCTTCTGATATCTTTGATAATAATGGAAAAACAATAAAAATCATTACAAGGATAATTTTCGCATTGTTTGTTTTAGAAAAATCAGTTTGGAGAAATATAAAAGAATTGCTTATTATAATTATATATAAAATTACACTATTAATTATATATTTATTATATATATAATTATGTATATAATTATATACATTAATTATATATATAATTATGTATAATTTTGTATATAATTATATATAAGCAATTGTTTTACATTTTTTGAAACTTGATTTTTTAAAAAACTTTTTGACTCTAGCCCACTCCATCTGCTTACAGGAGGCATTGCCAGACATCCTATATAAAGAATTCTAGAAAAGATATAGATTTTCTTAGTATTTCTAAAGTATTCCAAAAATGTAAAACTTTTTAAAAAATCCATCATTTCATCTTTTTTTGCCGAGGAAATTATTAAATATAAATAAAATACTGAAAAAAATATAAAAACATTTTATAATTTTTTTCCATGGGGTGAAAATTTGCAAATGGGAGGCGTGAAAATTCTGAAACCAAATGGATCGATTTTTATAACAATAATTAATAAAATTCTTGTATCGTTGCTCTCCATTACTATAGCAGTCGAGTATATTTTCAAAATTATTCCTCTTGGTACTTATAGTGAAATAAATTTATCGCTCCGTGAAGTTCAACATATGTTGGATAGTTGAAAGTTTTAATTGTCATTAGAAAAACATCATCAAAAAGCATTTTGTTACATAAAAATAATACTATTATTACACATGAGAAAGCGATGATTACTATACAAATTTTCCTATGCTATCAATTTTCTTCTTTTTTTTATAGATGGCTGTGAAACAAAATTAATTTGTGACTTAAACCCTAACTCATAGATAACAAGACAATGGTCTTGGTTATCATCTACTTCCGTGTTTTACGCATTCAAATAGAATTATATATAATTTCATGCAATCAAATAGAAAAATTTAGCATACCTAGTTACTCTTCGAAAAGTACAACTTTCTCGTTATAGGATGCAAAAAATAACATATTAGTTCGTTTATTAATTATAATTATAAATAATGTTATCAATTCCTTTTACGGCATGCCACTTAGAATAAAGTGTATCATATTTAAGCAGAAAGTGCATAATATATATAATGATACTTGGATAAAATTGAAAGATAATATATCACACACATACACGCGCGCGCGCGCGCGCACACACGCACGCACGCACGCACGCACACTGACACCTTAATCTTTTTTAGCATAATTTCTGTCAAAGAGAATCAAATGCACTCATTTGATTCACTTTAACGAAAGTTATGCTCAGAAATGTAAAGGTGATGCACTTTTAAACAGTATTGTAAAATTACTGTACAGTATATCAAAAGAATATATATTTTATTGTAATGAACTTAATTGTATTTAACATATATTTTGATAATATATATTATAATAATATAGTTTTATGAAAAAAAAGAATATGCTATATTTAGAAACGATATCTATTTCTTATTTTGTTAAATATCACGCATAATATAACGTAGACAATTGTCTAACAACATATCGCATGGAACCCAGATAAAAAGGCAATAAGGAAACAGTATTCTAAGAAAATTTTAGTTAATTATTCGCGAAGTTGTCATTTAAATCTTCTCTAGCATCTAACGGCAACTTCATGAGAGGCAATAAACATTTACTTTGAAATAGCGAATCCTACTCGGTCGTTTTCCATATCAAACTCTGTATAATATCGACCAATAAATACATCACCCAAAATCCATAATGATTGAGGCAAATCCATACCCATGAAGCCACTCATACATATTGTTTTACCAAATTGTTTAATCTAGGAAAAATTAAATATTGCGTGATTTCTATTCTAAAATAATTTAAATCATTATATGAGCCATTTATATTTACCTTAAGGACATAATCTTCACCAATAAGAGTGAAATTCTTATTACCTAGCGTGAAACTGATAGAGGGCATACTAGAAATCTGGTTACAATTCACCTTTAAATAATTAATATTAATTATTCATATTGGTAATCAATTAATTTATTATAAATTAATTCTTATTTCTGTATATACAATTTATCTCGATATTATTGCAAATTACTATTGTGCGAAAGTCAGTTACTTACCATTGCTTCCCCACCAATAGAAGTAGCTCCAATCATTTCGTTAATATCTTTGATTTCTGACGTTGGTCCAGCTATTAGGGAAGTGCCTGTATCGGCAATAGCTTGGCAGCCTTCCTTGCAGAAAGCGTGATCTTTCACTTGAACCCTATAATATCATAGCGTTAACAATTTGCTGACAAAATATGATCCGTGATTGTATGATATTTAATTTAATCGTATACCCATCCATCTTAAATTGCCAGTATCCTTTGCGAGTAACAGGAATATACGTGAATTCGCCTTCGTAATGATCGGGGTCGGAGCCACCCAATATCATTTCACCACCCTCTGCAGCTGAGGAATCGCTGTATAGATTTCATACTTTTTATATTGTAATGTGGAAAAACTATTTGAATGAAAAAAACACATGATGCATGAAAAAATTTTTACCGATTTAAATAGAAACTAAAAACAGCTTGCGACACCAAGTTTTGTTTGACCATATTATAGAAGACGGGAGTCACTCCATCGACGGATATCGTGGAGTAACCCATCCCCAAGATACCATCGAATTTCGCAGCAACAAAGGCTATTCCTGGTTCTGATATCGCTTCCGCGAATGTTTGATGCTGAACAGCAAGGCCAGCAACCTATAAAAGGAGCGATATTATTAATAAAATATTGTGCTTTACTTTGGAAAACAAAACAGGTAAATCTTTGGATGAGCTACAGTCTCATAACAAAAATGATTATACAGGGAGATATTTATATTTTATATCGTCATATTCACAATCAGAAGACAAAAATACATAACAAATAAATAGTCATTCCTTTTTTTACAAGAATGTAGCTCATCTGAAGGTTCACCCAATAACAACGTTTTTAAGAAATTTTAGATTACAACTTAGTTGGAATTAGATTAAATTGCCAAATAATGACTCACAGTCACTACATCTTCAGATAAAAACCCAGATAAGCTGCCAGAACCATAACGAATGGCGAATATAGTACCATTTTTTTTATATGTAGTGGATTTTTCGCTAGTATATTTATTATGTAATACTGCAAAAAATAGTAAATAAAATTGTTTCAATTATCGAAGAGTTCAGAAATAATTTCTTTACTCATTTAAATGTATAATTAACAGCAATTTAAATCATTGAACATATTTATATTTTATGCTTTAATACGAGCTATCTTATGTCGAAGGTTATCGATATTTTAAGAATAAGCGTGATAAATTACATAAATAAGACTGTAAATAATTATAGAGCGTAATTCCACAATATTTGGTTTATCAATGATTTTAATTTTTGAAACTGCCACTTTAAAGATTTCAAGAATTTATTTCAAATATGAATAGATAGAACACAATCTACAGCACTATTTCTATTCTATCAATAAGAAATAAAGCCCACAACGATGGATAGTTGTATTTTTAGTGCTTAAATAATTCGATATGAATTGATATACTATGTATTAAATTCTGCCAAATTACACGCCGAATTGATTTTGCAGTCTTGAAATGATATCGACAGAACTACCATAGTAACATGACAAATTAAATTGCCTAGCAATTTAATAATTTGATGCTCACAGGCATCTTAGAAAGATCTTAACGATAAATATATTAAAACCTATAAATAATTTACTGAGATTAAAATCTTTAGTACATAAGTTGACACCGAATTATGTAAACACTAAAGATCCAACTTCAACAATAACTGTTGCCGTTATGAGCTTAATTTTCTATTGATTGTTTATTCACATGTACGGCTCAATAAGATTCTTATTATTTGTTTTTATTCCACATTTTTATTTTTGATATTAATATTAAAGAAAAAAAAGCACTCGAGATTATTTCAATGTTTGGAATGATATTATTAATTATAAATATATTAGGTGCGCAACTAAGTTCTCGCTGTTATTTTGATGAAAATGCCATCAAAATAACAGCGAGAACTTAGTTGCGCACCTAATATATGTATATCAATAATGAAACATCAAAGTAGTGACACTGTGATACTGTGTACTTACAGCAAGCAATGTTCGTAATGTGGCATTTCTTGGATGGTACCCAGAGGTTGGAGGAACCAGTATCAAAAATTACTTTAAAATTCTGTGGTGGGGTCCCAATTGAGATAACACCATAGTATTGAGCATCCAAATAATTAGATAGAGGTTCTGGTGTGTAGTTGTCAGTAGTTGTAAACGTACGAACTTGTGTCAGGTCAGTGCCAACCTCTTTCAAAGCTTTTCGAATGGAATCTGTCTTGTGTAACGGAATTCTTAAAGCAACATAAAGAAGTTTCATTATACTGTATGAATATATTTATCACTGTATGAATATATATATCAGAGAAGATATTTATACATAAGAAATATATATGTACATATACATATATATACATATGTATAGAAATATTTCCACTGATGCAAGCAGCACTAATTTAAAGAACAATGAGTCATATAAGTTTAACCTTTGTTCTAGAAGCTTTCTTATACATGTATAAAGTAAAACAGAATTGCATGTGTAATGCAAATTAAAAAAAATCTATTTCTTTAATTGTGAATCTGATAATCAGTCTGAATCTTTCTTATTCATCATATCATGATTCATGCATATTTGAAAGTACTATATAATTTATAGTCCAGATCTTTTTAAATAAATCTTAATAGTGTGAACATTCATTAACTGTACAATTTTATACAAAAACAGTTACTTTGAATGAGCTAATTATATGTTACTTAAAATTACACGATAAACAAATGATAAATAAGCAGTAGTGATGGGCTAAATGATTATTTTTTGTAAGCAAGTACAGTTATAATTTTATTATTACTTCAAAAGAACCAGTTATGTAAATAATTTTCGATCATGAACAATTTTATGGTTACTACTCATAATATCCTATATCCTAGTCACATTTTTTGGATTTTTTTCATTATTTAAGTCAATTAAGAAATCTATTTTGAAATATTTCATTATTTAAAACATGTTTGCCTAAACAAATAAATATAAAGTGTTAAATTTTATATGCAAAAATTGATATTAATATAATTATTAATAAATAGCTCAAATTTATTTTCATTGTGTAAGGTCATATTTGAATATTTCAATTGAAAAATATTAATATGTAATAATCATAAAGAAAAAGAGAGAAAAGTCATTTTTTAAATTCCATTTTTATTGTAATATAATTAAATTAAGAAATATATAAACAAAATATATGATAATATTTCATTTATATCAATTAAGAATAAGAGCTTTTGAGAGCTAGTGCTGAATGTTGCAATTAAGGTTTATTGTATATAACAACTGAATAAACCAAGATTTTCAGTTCTCTTGATTTGGATCTTCTTCAGCAAATACATTAATGATAGAAAAGAAATTGTGCGAATAATGAACAAATATTCTTTTTTTATCACTAATAAAGAAGATTCAAGGATTAAAATGTCTTTATTTATTCAGTTGTTACATTATCTAAAACATTATATAAAACTTGATTGCAATAACATCTGGCTTTCAAAAGTTTTTTATTCTTAATTGATTTAATTCATTAAAGTCTATAGAATTTATTATTTCATTTATAAATTTGATAATTTAAACAATTTTCTTTTTTAAAATTTTAAATTTATTACTTTTGTTTACTTATAAAATTTAAGACTTGATATAAATAATTATTTAGTTTGTTAACCATATTATTTTTCAAATTTGATGACTGTTAACTTAGTAACAGATAACGAAATAACTTCCATCACTAATAATCAGGAATTTGCTCGCTGCTATCTATGGGTCTGTTTTTGTAACTGAACTAATGTACACTTTCAAAACTTAACATGATAGGTAAACATATGTATTAACAAAAGCGAGAAAAAAGATTCTATTGTTGTTTGGTGCAAGAATAAAAAACAGATCTTATATTTGGCCATGTTCCAAAATTTATTGCCAGTACTGAAAATCTATAGTGCACATAACGTAAGCTATAAATTTTCAATACTGACAGTACATTCTGGAACAAAGATTTTGTTTAAGAATCAAAATAAAATTGAAATAGTCTAGATGTAAACTGCTCTCTTACTCGCTAATCTCATTTAAGTCGTCGGAAAGGACAAGAAAAACAAGAAATATATAAGAAATCTTCAAAATAATCATCTCTTTGTCCGCTTGCTTTACTCCGATAGGAAGAGATATGATTCTTCAAAATTATCAGTTAATATTGTTTATTATAAACGCACGTATCTGCACGACTTCTAATCGATTTATCGTGCGGATACGTGTGTTGAGTATGAATCCGCGATGTTTAATCTACGCGTACTCACCTTTGAAATTCTGCTTCAATCAGCACAGCAAGTGCTGCAATTGCAATGAAGAAACGTAACATGTTTTCTGAATTTCCTCGGAGATTGTAAGAATCGAGATTTTTAGAGACGCTGTAATTTCTTATAAATTAGAACTACACAAACAAGGACTCAATTATTGCTACTCTTGGTTCTTGTCAGTTCTTGTTGATCTGTGTTGAAGGACTCATCAGTCATCCAACGTTCTCACCGATCACTAATGCCGCTTAATGACGAACGGCGGCATCGGCGGCGCTATATATACCATAGACGTATAAAATACATAAGACGGAATTTAAACTCCGCGGGGGGAGGGGAGTAGCCTTACTGTAAGAAATTGACCAATTATAGTCGTAGACGAGAAGAATAATTGACTATGATTCGTTCATTCTTTATGGTTCAAGACTTAAAAACCTATTGTAGATCTGGGCTAAAGGAACTCTAATTTCTCTCTGTCCGAACTCTTATTAGAGGAACATTAGCTACAAGTGGGATTTTACATCGCTAATTACTGGAGGCAGTAGTTTCCACCGAAGGTTTAATCCGGATCAGAATGTAAGAACCAACCAATTATAGTCGAGTATTCCCCTGTTATAGTCGAACGACAGGGGAATGCTCGATTGTAGTTGGTTGGTTCTTACATTCTGATACGGATTAAACCCTCGGTGGAAACTAAGCCAGAGATTTGTATATTTTGCAAATCGCATTTGGAGAAATATTATGTTCCAAAATCCATCAAAATGAAAAGTATTAACTTCACCCTAGACACATCTCCATTCAAATCTGTTGTTTTAGCGAAAAAAAATTACTTAAAATTGATAGATATCAAGCGACAGATATCAATTTTAATCATATGATCCTTTTCATCATTGAAACAACTGATTTAAATGGCTTGAAAGTGTATTAAAAAATATGAAACTCAATTATCAAAAATGAAATTATTTTATTCAATACAACTTTATTCTTACATACATATAAAAAATGAGATTGTCTAAAAATAGAACAAGATTCGTGTTGCTAAAACTTTTCTTTTTTATTTTTTGTCACGCACATATTACTGAAATTTGATTGATTGACTTAAGCATTCTGATTTTTATTGTAAAGTTATCGTATAAATTAATAATAGTCCCATATCATTAAATTCTTTAATTTATAACATTAATTTATAACATTTCAATCCGAATTCAAAGTTCCCTTCATCAAAAATCAAATTTACTTGTCGATGAATCCGCCGTCATATTAAATTCAATCTGTCCTTCACAGTTTTCTTGAACTTCAGAAGTAAGAGTTTCTTCTACATCCTAGAAAAACAATTTTTTTTATTTGTTAGTCAAAGAATACGAACAATCTCATTGAATTAATGATATAATTAATACTATTAAATTTAATACAGTTAAAGAGAGATCCAGGCTGAAATAATACTTTTTGCAATAAGTTCTTTAGATTGTAATGTGCTAGTAGCAGCAAAAATCTAATTTAAAATGCACACAGATATATTATTACAACATTTAACTTTGATCATAATTAATGCTTTTCTTATTTAGTTGATTAATACAGACAAATTATAATTTTATTTATAATACATATTTTACTTATTTAGATAAAACTGTTTATCAAAAAACAGAACTTTTCTATGTTTCTAGATTATTTTCAATTTATAAACATAAAATAAATGTACAAACCTTTTGTGAAAAAAACGCATCGATTATAGCCATAGATTTTTGATAAACTTGCTCATTCTGATGATGTTGAAGAGCTTCTATTTTATCTAATCCTCCAGCTTCTTCTATCAGAATAGCAAGTTTTTCCACTTGTCCTATTTTCTCTGCTGCATGCAAAATATTAGTTAGACCATCTAATACAACAATAACAATATTCCAATCCTTCGATTCCAATAAATTACAAAAAGGTGGTAATACACCCACTCCCACTAATTGGGATAAATGTTGGATTGTTCCTCCTGTTGTCAAGTTAGTTATAGCCCATGCAGCTTCTTTTTGTGATTTATAGTCCCCCTTAAAAAATGGATAAATTGTCTACAAAATTCTTTACACAAATATTTAAAACAAGTCCGATTGATTTTGTCGTGTATGCGCAAACACACTTACAAACTGCAGTACTTCTATCAATGGTGATAAAAGACCAGCATCTATCACATTTTGGATTTGATTCGTATTACCAGCCATAATATTACTAATTGCCCAAGCAGCTTCCTTTACAATATTGACGCGATGATACCGCAACAAAGCACCAAGATGTGACAATCCTCCCGCAAGAATTACAGCATCCGTTTGAGCATCGTCACCTGTTACTATATTTCCAACTGTACGCAATGCTGGAGTAAGAATCATTCCTTCCTGCAAAGTCAACATCTGTACGAGTCTCGGTATAATGCCAGTTTCTAATACTGCTTGTATCTTGTCGTTGGATCCATCAGTAAGATAAGAAAGTGCCCAACAAGTATCAGCTAGAACAAACAGCAATGTAAGTATCTCAAATTCAGAGTTAATTATATAATATATAAAATAACAATATAAACATCTTACCAAGTACATCTCGATCTGTATAACTAAGCAGGCGATTAAATATTGGTAGAACAGGTCTAATCAATTCAAAGGGTGGAGGTGGATTCTTATTTCGACATAAATTAGATAAAGTCCATACAACGTTCCGCAAGAATGTTATCTGCACATTTCATTAGTATCGGAAAATATTAAAATGTTATCTACTTGTTCAAATCTTATGTGATATATATATATATATATATATATATATATATATATATATATATATATATATATATATATATATATCACATAAGATTTATGTGTGTACATGCTATCTAATTATTATAAGATTAAATTATTTCTCTATTAGATAATTTATTCTTAGAATAATTAGTGTTTAATATGATTGAATACTGACATTAACTATTTAATCACTGTTTTACTATAAAAAATGTACAAATCTTAGGCTCTGCACGTAAATATTAAATATTAAAAAAATAACATTAGGAATAAAGATTAAATGTAAAGCCCTAAACATGATGCGAAGGTAACAGCGATAGCGATAGAAATAGTAATAGCGACAGGAACAGAGGAATCCAACATACGGAAATGCATATATCAATGCATATGTCAATGCACATATCCTATTTTTATCGCTGTTGCCTTCGCATTGTGTTTAGGCCTTAACATATCTTATATCTTACTTGTATTCATTGTATGTTACATTTAAATCTATTTCTAATTTTATTTTTCTAATATTTAATATTTATTTCTATTTGTAATATTTTATTTCATTTTACTTCTTTAAATCCCTAATATTTAATACTCTTGCTCCTAATATTTCTTTCATTATGCGCAGGGCTTAACATTTGTACATTTCTGAATTAATAAAATTTTTGAATATTAATATCGACAATATGAAAGCAAACAAAACAAATGTAATCAAAAGATGTCAAATGCGACGTCACTTACTGAAGTATCAGGTTTAATTAAATCCAGCAAAAGAGGCAGAGCATCATGTCCAAGAACAAGATCACGTGCATATGGTCCATCTCCAGCTATATTTCCTAAGGCCCACACTGCTTGTTCCGCAACGACGGGTGATGTAGATTTAAGTAGGTTCACTAATTTTGGTATTGCTCCATATTTTATAACATTTTGTGTTTGTAAAGATGTACCAGAGGCTATGTTAGTTAATACCCATGCTACTTCAAATTGCAAAGCAACGCTAAATAGAAATAAATAAATTATATCTTGTTTCTTAAATATATGAAGAAATAATTTATTTAAATCAATAAATCACTTTCATAGTGTTCATATACATACTTATAATCGTTATCTAAGAGCGCAATGCAACGTGGTACTATACCACCTTCTATTATATCATTTATAGGAGGATTTTTTTCTCGACTTAATAATTTTCTGCAAGTCTGAATTGCCGACAATTGTAACGTCTCATCTGATGAGTTTATATGATTTACAATTTCATCTATAGAAAGAGTAGGAGTGGGTGAGACAGTGGCTTTATTCGATAAATCTGACAGTTCTTGATTTGATGTATCAAGATTACGTCGTTTTGATAATTGATCATCCTTCTTGGCTTTACGTAGCTCCACTGATAATGCATTCCTTCTTATTCGAGCTTCCTAAGGGAGATACACATATACTAAAGGAATGTTTGTAAACGTTTATACAGTAGATTGTAATTTGTAGTTTGATCATATCAGAACAAATTTTAATAGCAAAACATTAACGTATTATTTTAAAATTATACATATAAATTGTACAATGTATAAAATTTAAAATAATATACAAATAGTCTTATGTCTCTCTTGATGTCATATAATTTGTTTGAAAATGTTTTGAATGAATCTTATACACCCCATACAGCATGAATAATTAATTCCGGCAGTATTGCAGCAACATTGCAATATACCAATAATAGTACAATAAGGTCACAAATGTAACAACATTAAGTTTTTGTGTCATATAAGTAATTGAAATAATCCAATTTTTTATATATAATTATATAAGAAAAGCTAAGTGAATAGATGCTTTATAATGATTGTATAAATTTATATATAAAACTACAAATCATATATATAAACATGTATAAAATATGTAAAAAATTTATATTTCCAAATATAGAAAATTTTTTCTAAAAGAGTTAAAAACAGATTGATTTTCGCTAATTATTATTAAAAATAAACACAATTAAAATACATAATCAAATGTTTCGACCTTGAATATGGATATCAGTGAGTGTATGTACTTATATTGCTAGAGTCAGATAAAAAAATTTCTTTAATATATAGCGGTTGTTAAATTAGAAAATAATTTTAATTACACTTACTTCATGTTTGTTATTAAATTTAAAATTTGCTTTGCGTCCATGACTGTTATCCTCTCGAGAAGGCATTGTTCTTTAATGTACTTAATACTTTTTATATTGCTTGATCTATCTCAATCTAGATCCCTGCGTAAATGTTTAATAAAAGATTCAAATTAAAAATATATTAGTAATAATAACGATTAATTAGAATATACTGAGAAATAATTTATACAATTAGATCAAGTCTGATAGAATGCATCTATAACCTTATCAAAATTCACATGTACTTATTCAAAGAAAATTTGAGTGACATTGTAATGTAATTAACGTATGAAAATAAATTGTGATAAACATAGCTAATTTTAAATTAATTTTTCATGATTACACGCGAATACTGAGAAATAAGCTATTTTCATGATTAATCGCGAATCTAATAGTACATATATATATATATATATATATATATATATATATATATATGTGTGTGTGCGTCTACAGTTTACCTCATCAAAATTCATAATTCATATATTCGAAGAAAATTTGAGTGACTATGATTAACGTATGAAAACATGATTGTTGCTATTTTTAGTTTACTTTTCACAACGGTTAGATGAAAATAAGTATTAGATATCTATATAGGTAATTGTATATAAATTATAATAAATTAATTTCGATCGTACCTTTACAAATTAGACGGCGCGATAATTATCTCTTCAAATTGCAAATTTTCCTGCATATGCCTGTGTTACTCGTCTTTGTCGAAGAATTCAAATAACTTATCGTAACTGTTAAAACTAAAAAAGAAAGAAAGAAAGAGTCTTGTTTACAATTATCCAATAAGAATTGTTGAAAAATTGAAAATAGATCAAGCTACAACGTTCAACGTTTAACCGCTCTACAAGTGTCCACAAGCAAGAATGATGGTCTTTCTATTTCTACAATAAGCTAATTATCTTTAAGGAGCGTTTATATTGGCCGTATTCATATGCCATAATTCGTACGAATTGACTAATCACAGTCGAGTATTCCCCTCTTATAATCGAATGAGAGGGGAATTTGCGACTGTGATTGGCCAATTCTTACAGATTATGGTACATAGCTAAGCAAATTCAAAATTTTGTTCAAATGACTACTTTTGTAATTCAGAAGCTTCTAGAATTTAATTCCTTCTACAATAATATACTGCGTTTATCATTAGGCACCTTAAGGTTATCATCTGTCTCTCTTTTTTCCCCGAATACCGTCCTCTTATCCTTGGAAAAATTCCGCTGAAATTTTACAAAAATTTTGATAAAAGTGAGTTTTTCAACAAAAATATTGAATAATCATCAAAATTGAACTAAAATTCCTTCACAAGTTTTTTGAAAATATTAATAAAATTTGCTAAAATTTCTTTGAAATTTCGGTGAAGTGATTTTTTTTTCAGCCAAATTAATGAATTACAGAAATTTTTCTGAAAATTTTTCTAAAAATTTATTGAAATTTGTCTAAAATTCTTCTTAAATATTTTCATATAATTTTTTTTCAGCAAAAAACTTTGAAAAATGAATCGTTAAATTTAAAACAAAATTGTTCCAAAAATTGCTGAAAATTTGTTGAAATTTTCCTGAAATTTGATTTAAATTTCGTCGAAAATTTTATATTTCTTTAAAAATATTTTGAATATTCTTTAACATTTCGTTGAAAATATTGCAAAATTATTACGAATATGCAAAAATTAGTTTTACTTTATTTTTTACATATAAATGGTTTTAATATGCGTGAGAAGACAATATATTATAGTATTAAGTATATTTCCATTAGCACATTACAGTTATATTTAATATTATTTTTTCTATAGGTGTTCCATCTTTTTCACATCTTTGATTAGACATGTTAAAACTTTAACTATATCGAAAAAAAACTTTACGATTAATATCTCGGTTCACGAGGCAGAGTGACGCTTTCTTTTGCCAAATTTGTTCATTTCGTGCAAAAGCCCAAATGAGCCTAATTTCGCCAAAATCAGAACTGATTGTACTAAACAGAACAATTATTTCAGTCATTTTATCATAATCAAATGAATTGAAAAGAAATAGAAGAAAACAATATCAAGTATAAGATTTCATCATTACTTATTATTATTTTTTAAAGCGATAAGTTTTTTTCAAATGACATATATATAAGTAACAAATTTATTTATTTAAACTATATATTTAATTTAGTTAAAGTGTATATTACTACGAAAATTAACTTAAGTTTTATCAATTAAGTAATTTCTAATAATCGCAATTCGCACGCATTAAATATTTTTTAAAAATAATGAAATTAATATATTCAAGTAAAATTTTATTAACTAAGATAGATTCTTATTTATATCTTACATAGTTTTCAATATTGTGCTTTAATTATGAATAAAAAAGCACATGTCCCATTTGTGATATTATAAAAAACATAAAAATAATTGCAATATATAATACTAATTTCTTTTTTTCTCTAATTGATTTTATTTTTTCGTTTTAAAGCTATAAATACGAAATTTGTAGTGCAGCTAGTATTCCTTTAAATCGCTTACTATCGACCTAATATAAAATCGCTTTGATCATTGACTAAGAAATGATAAACAAATGCAGCTTTCTTTTTATCGAAAGTAATTTGAGTCGCACGACTTCTCTGATGGCGATCGTCTCTGCTTCTAGGTGGATACCTTAAAAATATTGATCCAAACAGCGTCGCTGCACACACAAATAATATTTTTAAAATATTTTTGTCAATGCTCTTTATGTGGTAGAGAAATAATAAATTAAGAGCAAGATAGAAATGAATATAATAAATTTACCAAGTGTCTTAGCATCTAGTTCGTTATCCTGTGTATGATTTAATAATTCTTGCAAGAATGAACTGATATAGAGAAAGACAGTTCTTCTAGTCTCTGGTAACTGCATTATAATCTATAAATGAATAAAATAATATGATAATCTGAATTCATATAAGAAAACATTACATTACAGTAAAATGCTAATTTCTGATTTACTTGTTTGCATTGTAAATAATTAGTTGCTGCTGATAGGCAAACATTATGTAGATTATACGGTATCTGGGTGTGTGTTTACATGCGTGTATATGTGTATACATAGGTATATTATAGGTGTCCCATAAAATTAAATCATCTTTCACAACACTCTTTACAACTAGTATATAATAATAGCAGGTTAAAACTGCACTTTTCACATTTCACAATCACTTACATCTACGTTGATTCAATTGTAGATCGGGTTTTATTTGTGTGTGTATTAATGTTATTATGTATTTTGAAATATTAAAAGGATACGCATTGGATCTTGACTCCATTCATCTAACCAATCTCGAATAGCTATTATCTCACTATGAAGACCTGGTGTTTCAAAAAGTCCTGGAGTTTTAAGACCATGTCGATATAATCTATCCACTAAATGCCATATTTCTTTTGGAACTGAATATGGTTCTTGTGAGAGATTTTTATTATTCTCCTGTATTTTTAAACAAGCAATTTTTAAGTGCAGATTAGATTACGGAGAAATACTTTCGCAATAAAATTATATTTGTCAATTTTTTATATTCACCAATTCGACTAATCGTCCAATAGGAATTTCTCTAATTGGAACTGAAACATGAACCAATGCTTCCATTGAAGAGCCAAAACAACTTCTCTCATAAGTGCCTGAAATTATTAATTTACATAATTATTTCCAAATTAAAAAACTAACTAATAAATGCTCTATTATACATTGTTATTATTATGTGCAATATACCTGTTATAGTAATGAAAATATCTTTGCCTCCCTCGAGATGCAATACTAAAATATCATATAACTTGTCTTCACCAGAATTCAATTTGCACGCAGTTTTTTTGTCTACATATACCTCCAGTTTAATGTCGCACTTTTCACCTGACATAATAAGGAAAGGAAACACATAATGGAAAATATATTAGTGTGGAGACAGATATTGAACAAATATATATGAAAAATATAAATTTATACCTGGTTTTATAAAGCCTGTATATGGTTCTATATGCAACCAATCCTTGCAGTAGTTTGTATCGTCTAACTTTTTTATAAATTCAAATTGCACTGGTACCTAATTTAAAAATATAAAGAATAAAAGTAGATTGTAAAGAATAAAAGTAGTGTGTGCATCCCCTCCTTTTTTCTTGATACGTACCTGGCCTGTATTAGCGATAATAAGTTCTTTACTGCTAGATTCGAGAAATCTCAAAACGTCAAAAATAATATCTGTGGTATCAACCATTACTTGAGGTAAGAATTCATTTTCTAATTTATCAAGTTTTTTCATAACTTCCTCGTGAATTTTACGATACTTAGCCGTATCTATAATACGTATCTGTTTTGGAAAATTAATACAAGCTATATAATAATATAAGACACTTTTTTCAAGTGAATATGTAATAAATAAAAAGAAACAAGAAATCCATATTTGCACATCTATTATTTACTTAACATACTTACTTGAGAATCAAAACTTGCACTAACTGGCTTGTGGTCGGATATCTTTAGTTCCGGATGACTTTTATAGTAAATTGATTTAATCATATCTCCTTTCCATAGTACTCGATCACACCAAGCTGGAGCTCTGCATTTCTCGCTATACATCATTAGACATAAAAAAGAATGATATAAAAATATTAGATTGAAATTTATTTAATAAATGTAAACTGCGTTTTAGAAATGTAATATAATTTTTAGGATACCTTGAATCCCAGTTGTCGGTACCTGGATCATATTTATATGTGGGTTTAAAATCAATCTCTGCTTCCTGAAATCCTTGAAACACACGTCCTGCTTTGCGTTGGTGTCCAAGTTGATCCAATGCTAAGACGGGACTATAGATGCCTTCTGAAATGTACTGCTTAGCTGTTGCAGCATCCATTTCCGTTATCCGATAATTTAAATCTCCCAACCAATAAATCTGGCTATACACATACACATATGCTCATATATGTATACACATACTTATATTGCTTCCTTGCTTCACTATGATACAACTCAAAAAATTAATAGCGAATTCGGTTGAACACTAGTTTGCACTAATGCATGTTAAAGCTATTGTATATTGATTTAATCCGTATACAAAATGTAAATATTTAAAATTATAAAATACAGATTTTACTTAACAGTACAATAAAGCGAGCAGCCGTATCTCGAGCGCGCGTTTAGATTTGATAGTAGGTTGGACTTATTTAATTTTTAATAATTAATTTCTTGTTAACTATTGCAAAAATTATAAAATGATTAGGACTTTTTGATTCGACAGTTTAGTTTGCTCTATTTGCATACAAGCGCTATATATAATTAGGGAATATTCCATATAATATCATAGAAAACTTACTCGTGATCCTTGAAACTTTTAGGTGGTACATATTTCGTAAAAGATAATCTCGCACAAATATCAGCATAATCCTGGTTGCGTCGCTCAAATTCTTCACAATGTGCAGCTAAATGAGCATTAACAAAGCAAACAGCCGTATTGTGAATACAACAACTGACTGCAACACCACCTTTATTGCCCTATAAGAATTTGCAATTATATTTGCAATATTTAACCTTTGAAACACAATGTTTTTATGTATTTATGTATTTTATGTATTTATGTACCTTTTAAAAAATGAAAAAGTATATTGCACTCTGATTTCTTTACAACTTCATATTAAGTAATTCAGTGATTCAGTTATGAATCGAATCTGAAGTAAAAATTTTTGAACGCGAGTATGACATGGCAGCGCATGATCTATCAAGGATCCAGATTCAATCCCAGTAGGATTCAAAATTTATATTTATGCTCGTGTCTCCTCTCGGAAAAGGCCGGCAACCTCCCGAGGATGCACATAGAAATACCTCTCGCAAAATCTGCCGTTCGAAACCGGCATTAAAACTGTAGTTTCCAT